GCTGCTGGCTGGGCTCCTCACCAACCTCCAACGATAACTCTGCTGTGAGTGGCTTCTACGGGGCGTTGTTACCGAAACTAGCTAGGTAGGTTCGGTAACAAATAAACGTTAAATTGACAGACGTAATAATGAATAGCGACACCAAAGAGATGGGAGTAATAAACACAGAATATTGACACGATTAATTTAAAATGTCTCCAACTTTTCAATCCTAAATTTTTTTTTAAACCCCATCATAATTCATATTATTATTATGGCATTTAATTACGTAGCAGAAAATATTATACAAGTCAGTGCTTTGGGAAAGCTGATCTTGTGAATGAAAAGCAACAGCCCAAGGTGCATTTAATCCATTGTGTATCACCTGCCTATGGTACGTGGTTCAGGATCACAGTCGTCAACTAGAATACAAAAAATTAACCCGTAAAAATAAAGTTTTTCACTATAAATCCTTTATATGCGTGGCGGCTAGAGTCCTCTCGTCCTCTGGCTTGAGATGGCTGCCACCTATGGGTCAGATGAATGCCTGCCACCATTAAGCAATTGGTAATTAAATATAATTAATTTTTTCCTAAAAAGTGTAAAATTTTGGGAACATTTTTTCACTAAAATACATTGTCACGCACAACGAGTTTGTATGCAAACAGCTCGATTGGATCACGGGAAGTGGGTTAAAAAACGACCGAAAGATTTGCACGGTCGTAAGCAAGCAAGCAAGTGAACTTAATATAAAGGATTTAAACAACGAATCAACTGAATCGTAGGCTAAGAAGCATACGGAGATGCACGCGTGGATATACAATGAGAGACAGAAAGAGGAGCGCATAGATTAGAGAACTTACTCTGCAGGTTAAAGACATAGTTAAAACTGTTCGGAGCAGTAATAAAACATAATAAGCAGATAACACCGTCTGTCTCCTTCACATGAAGAAATAAAAGTATATTTTTTTACAAATTTAAAAATAAAAGCATTCTCTATTCAGAATGGGTGAACGGCCGTGTGCAGGACACGTGATGGCGAGGAGGAATCGCGGCCGAGGGTCAAGAAGATTGGCAAAGCGTCAGCCAAGCAATGGGACGCATTCCAGAGGGCGTCCACCGGGTGGAGATGGAGCCATGAAATCAGTTTGTGTGTAGCTGCTCGGTAGATTATTTCAGAATCAGCAAATGTATCTATACCGGAAGAATCAGATGAGCTATGGCACTCTTTTTCACGGATGTCCAGTCGCAGGACCGTGAGGGATGGCAGTAGCTTGAGCTCTTCATCTAGCAGTGGATTGACCATGGTATATGCTGCTGCTGCTGATGATGATAAACCCAATATAGGCTTTGTGTGTTTCCACCCCTACCCAGCCTATTTTTTTCTACCTCGTTTAGCTCAGGCATTCCAAAAACTTCTCACCGTTCAAACGTTGACTTTCACACACTCACTCGAGCTGCCGGCCCAGCAAACAGACTTGCTGCACGCGAGAGAGCGAGGAGAGGTGGGTTATTGATGTGTGTAAACATCAGGGTAGTCTCCATTCCTAAGGAGGAGCACTACTCCCTCCGTGCCTTAACTCAAAAGGAATCAAACAAAGCAAGTTAGGAACAAAAAAAAATCAGGCGTACGCATGCGTTGATTGTGCGAGACTTTCCAACATTGAGTTAAGTCTTCGGAATGAATTAGCAACATAGAAGTCCATCCGTGGGCAGTTGATCAGGGCAAAACTTATCGGCATATTTGCAAATACAGTAAAGTTGCTCTTTAAGCTCTTTTGTGTTTCCACGTTTCGAGAAATCTTTTGCTCAATCTTCAACAACGTATTTGGTGATACTGCTGCTACAACATTCGTTAATAATACTTTGGCATTAAAATACAAAATACGTAATAGTCAACGTGTTTGGCAATGTCCTTTCTTCAAAGCATATAGAGAGGCCAGAGTGATTGAGTGGATAATGAGATTTGGGCCCATGGTGTGAAGTGCAGCCTTCAACCCTTAATATCCACTCTCCCCGTCTGGCATCTTTATTTGTGTGCTATGAAGGGCCATTGCGCGAAACGTCGCCTTACATATTCTTCATCTTTGGTCCACTGTGTCATTGTCGAATGTGTTGAGTTTTTTCTTCCATCAAATTTTTGCCGATTTTCAAAACGGCAAGTCCATAGTGCCTTCACGCCTTTCTACGAAGATTCTGTTAATATTGGACCATCTTTCTAAGAGTTATACCCCAGCCGCCCCACGCTCTACCGCGCAGCCCTACACCCTGCCCGCTTTCCCCCACAAAAACTGGGCAGGGCGCTATGTGGCCCTTGTGGATGAAGCCATTTAGAGGTGCGGTTGGCGGACCACGTAGACACTAATGTAGATTCTGTTAATATTGGACCTTCTTTCTAAGAGTTATACCCCAGCCACCCCACGCTCTACCGCGCAGCCCTACACCCTGCCCGCTTTCCCCCACAAAAACTGGGCAGGGCGCTATGTGGCCCTTGTGGATGAAGCCCTTTAGAGGTGGGGCTGGCGGATCACGTAGAGACTTGTGTGGAACTTCTCAACCCGCTACTGGGGCTGTGAAGTAGTCAAGAGGTGGCAGTACAGAAAGTGAATTTTATTAAAGATTGTTTTTAAACGGCGCATTTTATGGGGCCCATAATCTCACCCTCTTTCAGCTCGAATGGCACACATCACTTAGTCCATAAACTTTCCGGAGCTCGAGGTGGCCACGAGATTGCGGTATCAGCAAATGTATTGCATCAATTTGTGCGGAGCTTTGAGTGTTATCCCCTCCGTATGCGCAATGGGTTTTTTCCAGGTACTCCGGTTTCTTCCCCCCCCCCAAAAAAAAGACAACCGCTCAATAACGGAATTAGCCAAATATTCAAATGCAGGACCGACCTAAAACATCGTCTTGAGACTCATTGAGATTTTGCTGCATGAATTATTTTTGTATTATTATGGACGTAACAATGTACTGTATCGGGTATTCGGTTCATATTGATGTTTTAAGCTCACTATGCTTGCATCGCATCGCAGTATAAGACTCTTTTTTTCTGTTTTATACGAAGTGTATATAATTTTTGATATGAGACATCCTCAATCCCCACGCCGTGCTGGTTATGAGGAGGGGGAGTTGACCATACTTCACCACGTTAGTCTTCGCGGGTCGGTGAAGGAACGGGGGAGAATTAGTGGGGGTGGGCATGATCAGTGCTGACATCACTCGCCACTGATGTTAGCTGTGGCCAGGAATCGAACTCGGGTGGCGGGATTCACGGCGCAATGGGTGAGCCACCACTCAACTGCTCCACCGACCACATGTTGCATTACAAACGTGAACAGGTGAATTGTGTGGTGTATTATGAAGACATTTGATGACATCGTCGAATGACCACGGCAAAGAAACTGCCTCTTTATTCATTCATTTTGTTTTTATTTAAAACCGTTCGAGAACCCAGTGAGAATACAAGTCTATTTTTCAAGGGAGACATAGGTTGATAAAAAAAAAGAAAACCCCATCATGAACATACACGGTAATGATAACGTTACAGCAATTCTAAATATCGGCAAATAAAATGCACACGTGCGTGTCTCGTTGCACAGAGTGGATTTCAAGACTCATTTACAGATCCACGTGGAACCAGAGACGGATCGAAAAACTTTCCAAAGGAGAGAGTGGGGAGGGGGGGGCAGTCACAAAATTCAAATAAAAAAATCTCGAGAAAACCCATGGCAGGTCCCTGGATTAATAAAAATGCAATGAATGCATTTTTTCTCAGGGAAATATCAATAAGATACCAATATTCTAGTTCTCAAGACAGGAGGGGGAGCCTTTCACCCCTCCCCCCTGGAACAGTCGGGCAGTGGTTTAGGCACTGCGCTATGAATCCGAAATTCCGAGTTCGATTCCTGGCCAGAGCTAAACATCGGTGGCGCGTGATATCTGATACAGTGGCACCTCCCTCCTACACTAATACGCACTGAGCAGCATAATAATAATAAATAATAATTTAGATTAACCCTTCAACAATTTATATCAGAGCACACAATGCGTGTCAAGGAGGAAAATAGGCGAGACATACTTGGGGAGAGAAAGACTAAAGAAACAAGCCAGATGACTGGAGAGAGAGTGAGAGAGAGAGAGGCCTTGTTAAACAGGCAGTGGGGTCTTCAGCCGAGACTTAGAAGTCTCTATCGATTGCGATGGGAATTCCAGAGACTGAGTTTCGTGCAGACGAAAGCCCGGTGGTCACCCCAGCGTCAAAGCCTGGAGCGCGGCACACTGAGAGTGGGAAATGATCCGTAGACATTTGAGACCTCCGTGAAGTTAAGCGCTGTATGGTGACATCGTCGGGAGCCTCTCATCAAGGCAGTGGATTGACAAAGGACTCAGCATTATCATTGTTCATATTACAAATCAGGAGATGGCAAATGATGGCCAGGGCATGGCAGAACAGAAATTGATTATTTAATTCATCTGCGCGCAGCATCGAGTGTTATCCCCTCGTATACGTGTACAGCAAAATCAAAAGTTGTGCTGTGCTTCTATGCTGCCACTTCAATGTTGCGCGACCTTTGCCAAGTAGGGTCAAATGCCCCCCCCCACCCCTTCGATCTCCACCACGACGCGCACGGCGGGGGGTGGGGGGGCTCTCATCTAGCAGTGGATTTAATAAATGTCAACTGCAGCACCGCACAACGCTTTTACATTTGACTCGAAGAAAGCGAATCCCCTTTAAGACTTCGGTCCCAATTTTCGCCGGGACGTGTGGAATGAGACATCGCACTTTTACGCATTTTTTTAACCTCCTCCCCCCCTCCTGGCAAAGCGGTGGCGGTGGTGGCGGGTGGGTGGGTGGGGGGCGAGGGAGGAGATCGGGGGGGGGGGGGGGGTACGTGAATCGGTGGTGGTGGTGGAAGGTACGTGGTTGGGTGGTTGGGTGGTGGAGGTGGTGGTGGGAGCGCACCAGGAGTCACAGGCACCCAATCGCACGCATCCGTGCCCGGGGGTCCACCTTCATGCATAAACATTGCGCAAAGTTCTGCCCCATCTCACCGCCGCTACCGTCCTTTAACACCGCTGCTGGCGACATCCAGAGGACGGCGGTGGGGACAGACTTAGACGCGGGGCTGCAAAGGGAGAAGGAGGAGGAGACACCGCTGAGTCATCACGAATCGGGGTGTCAACCCCAGACGGACCATCAGTCCCTCGGACAGGGGCACCACCTCCACCATCAACGCAGAAGCGCGTCTACCCCACCCCCTCCGTCCGGCACAAGCCGTCAAGGAGGCAAAGCGGACCTTCCATCCTTCCCTCCCACCACGACTGCTGCTTGCTGCTCTATAGCCCCGTGGCCGTGACACTCGCGGATGAACCATGTCTAGGACGCGATGCTCTTACTCGCGGCACTCGTGGCTACTGCTGCACGTGGCCGTGATTCTCCTGCACGCGCTCTCGACGAGCCTTGCGCAGCCCCCGGTGAGATCATCCACACACCCCGTGCGAGCGAGCGAGCGAGTTAGCGAGCGTGCGTGCGTGAGTGAGTGTTGCACGCAAACAGCGCTTGCACCGACAGTTTGTTGAAGGCTATCCGGGGGATCTTTGTCTTTAGGTGGGGTTTTTTTTGGTGCGCTGTGGCGATGATGATGATTGTGCGATTGTGTTGGTGGTGGTGATGATGATGATCAAGATGATGATGATGATGGGAGGTGGTGATATTGACCGTGCGTGTGGCGCACGTGCCTTGTGCAATGAAGTCGCGGGCCGTATCCAATTTATTTCGCTGTTTTTTTTTACCCGGGTAAGCCTCACCAACGAGTCTCACGACGAATCTTTATTGGGAAAGTCCTGCCAGGTCTTCACAGTAGGGGGCGATGATTGCTGCGTAGATTTCCATTGACTAATCGTGTTGATGCCCGCGGCTATGATGGAGATCACGGTGGTGGGTGATGTTAATGAAGATAATGATGGTAGTCATGGTGGTGGTGATAGTGTTAATGCGATTGCAGAAAATGAGTTAACTCAGTTCTAAGAGTTAGAGACAACTTTATAGGCATGCATATCCACAAAATACACCTTGCACAGCGAAACGAATTCGTTGTCTAGAAATAATTAGATATATAGTCCATATGACTATTGACCTTCCAGACTTAATAAACGAGGAGCACGTTTTTTAAACGCATGCAAACTCTAGACCGGTTTCAACATATTGGGTCTCATCAGCAGTCAGGCTCACTAAATAAATACCACCAGTAATTGGTAAAAAAAAAAAAATGCGGGTCATCCTCATTTTATATTATAGTTTTTTTGTTGGAAATGTGATGATGGCTTAGTTGAAAAAAATATCCATATTTCGTTTCGCCCTCAAGTGCCCAAGCCAAATCCCCGGCAAGATTGATTAAATTAATAATCTTTTCTGCCAGGAGGATTCTTAAATTCCAAACTTCATTATTTAGTGATGACCCAATTGGTCAACTGCCATCATTCGTGGTGGTAGTGGTGATGATGATGGCAGTAATCGTGACCATGGCGATGACCATGACGATAGCAGGAGTGGTGGTGGTGGTGGAAATGATGTCGAGGATGAGGATAATTGTGACAATGTTGACGATTATCATGATGGTGATGATAATGATCAGAGGACGGTGGCTAACGCGACGGTGACTGCCAAAGCTCTGAGAATCAAAATTATTTTTTTGGGTGGGGGTGGGGGGGGAGACGGAGAAATGAAAGTTATGATATTTGCTGAAGAAATTACAATCCCCTTTATGTTGTGTATACAGAATTAATGAGCTCACTGCGTCCGTAATGAACGTTTTTGGAACACAATATTTGGTGCTGCTGATGCTGCTGCGTTGGCAGCGGTGCCAACATCACGATTAATAACAACGTTTTAAGGCCACGGTGTTATTCGTTAATAACATCGTGGCCTTAAAATCACGAATGATATAACAGGCAACGTGTTGGGCAACGGCCCTTCTTCATAGCACTGAAATAGAGGTCAGAGACAGATAGAGAGAGGGGGAGAGAGATAAAGCTGGAGGGGATAAGAGAAATAGATCAACGTTTTTGGAACAGAACAAGGAGACCACGCGAGCAGGTCGGTTGCGGGGAAAAGATTTCTCTGCAATCGGTAAAAGTTGTGGGGTAAATGTGAATAATAATGTACGGACGATTGAAATCCACCTTCACCGCATTGTCCTCCCACGCACACGTGAAATGCATCAAACGGCGCGCGAACTGGCAGACGTGGCCAACCATCTGCCCGTGCTCCGTCCCACAGCTGAGATATCGAGGAGTTTCACACGGAGTGGGCTTTCGCGACCGATATTATCCACGATAAAAAGTTGTATTTCTTTTTGGGAGGTGGTTAGATCGCGTAAATATAACAGATACGCGCGCTTTTTATCGGCTTCAGCGTCAAACTTCACGGAGAGGGGGTTGGGGGTGGTGGATACTCGGTGTTACTGACGATGGCGATCGTATTTATAGTTTAAGTTTGTTAAGCACGAGATGTAAAGCGGTGTAGAGTGCAGCTTAGGGCAGAGCGTGCACTGAGAGCGCTACCCACCGAAGGTCCGCGCTCATTGCGGTATACCCGTGCCAAATTGCAGATTTCTAACCCTTCGAGAAAAATATGCATGACCTGCACGAGCCACTCGCTCATTCGCCACGTTCGTGCCCACACATCACACATCAATCACGCCGAGCCTTGTCGCTTTACACTTGATGGGTCCAGCGGTGGTCACGGAACGCTCTTGCCACGAAGCAACCCACACGCATTGGTCCGACGAGCCCGAGCCTTGCCGATGAGTCTCGGAGAGAGGTCGAAACCCATTCCAGAGTTTGTCTGATTAAAACGCAACTGGTCCGGAAGGCCAACAGGGCGACGGCACTCAACTATAAATTTGAGTTTCGCGTCACTGTGAAAACACACACATACACACACAACCTCGCTGTGTGTTTTATTTCTCGCAATAATCCCACAACCATACTTCACCACGCCGGTAAGTGAATGCGGTGGAGGTCGCAGGCAGGAGTGGGTGGGTGGGTGGGCGAGGGGAGAAGAGAGAGGGAGGCCACTCAGAACCGGTCCGTACATCACCCGTCGTCACTGGTGTGAGCCATAGCGGGATGAATCAAACTCGGGGAAGAAACGGGGTGACACCGAGCAAAGGGCGCTAACCACTGCGCCACCGCTCCACCGCAAACTCGATTTGCACCGCGGGCTATTATCGGTGGGGGAGCGGTGGGGGAGCGGTGGGGGGAGCGGGGGGGGGGTTAATTGCTTCACCTGCTTGGGTCGCCGCTGCCACATTTGTCTCTCTCGTGGTCACGGAGAGGAGAGTCCAACTCGCACAGGCGGCGTTGTGCGCCACGGGTTCAAGGGTGGTTAGCGCACTGCTTTCGACGAGTTCGACTGCCGGTCACGGGCTACGTCAGCGGCGAATATCTACGTCGGTCCTTGGACTCCCCGAGGGGCGACTCAGCATTAAATGAGTACCTGGTACGGTGTGCTAACATCAGCGCTGGGGAGATACAAAGACGGCCGAGCGTGGTGCAGGCCGCAGCAACCCCCTAGTGCACCGTGACCGTGTGCACGCGAACAGCAACTTAACGGCACTTGCCTCAACACCCTGAGCAGGCTATACGGGGAATCTTTGCATTTGCCTTTGTTCGCGTGATATCTTCGCCATCATCATCAGCAAGCAGTATTATCTTTGATTTATTGTAGTCATTATCAGCAGATTTTCATCAGGAACCAACATTATCATTATTAATCCAAATCATCATCATCAGCAACAACACTTTCGTTATCTCAAACATCATCCGGTAGCAGAATTATCTTTTTTTTCAAATAATCATAATAAGCATCAGACTTCAACAGTATAATCAGTATAATCATCATGTAGCAACTAGAGAAGGCATAGAGTAAGGTGTTTTAACTTAAAACGTAGGCTTTCGTGGCCACTTCAATGATCAGTAAGCCGTCAGTCAGGTCTCTACTGGATCAGTAAAGCCTCTATTAGATCAGTAATGTTTGTATTGGACCAGTAGGGTGTCTACTGGATCAGTAAGACATCTGATGGATCAGTTGGGTGTCTATTGGATCGGTAACGTGGCTATCGGATCAGTAAGATCTCCATTGGATAAGGAAGGTCTCCATTGGCTCAGTAATGCCTCTATTGGAAGGAAGGGCATGTGAGAGAGGGCCTTGTCTGTATTCAGGTCACGGGAGAGAGAAATATCACACCTCTCACTCACACAGCCGCTTCTCAGTTCGGAGCCACACGGCGAATACTTTATGCATTCACTTAAAACACCCCAATCCTCAAGGTCACATGTTACTAAGCATGAGAATATCATACAGGTTATAATCATCAGCAGCAGCCGTGGTTAATCCACTGCTGGATAAATGCCTATTCAATGCACCGTCATCTCTCACGACCCTGCGATGCAATAATCCACCCAGCACCTACACACGGGGCTGATTCCGTCGCTCCGTCTCCTCCCCAGTGGGAGTGCTCACGAACACGTTCCGTACTTTCTAGCGACGTGTCCTGCCAGAGCCCACTTTAAAATCATCATCATCATCATCACATAGGATATATACAGTATAGGTACACACAAATATACTCTACAGGTAGTGGAACAAATAGCCAGGGGAACTTTCTCGACGCAATCATCCGTGTAACAAATTAAACAAACTCAATTGAATAGTTGTACTCTAATTCTGTGCGTGTTCAAACGTCGACGGGTCTCTCCTTCACTAACCCACCCTGACCAGCGTGGTGAAGTATGCCCAAATATCCCCCTAGGGCCCGCAACAGCGTGGGGAGGCACTTATTCGGCAGCGGACTGACAAATTATATCGGTAACGGGTCGCCACAGACGTCTCGTGCAACGAGCTTTTTTCGGGGCTATAACTCCAGGTGAGGCACCAACCAAGGGGCGTATGATACGTACGTGCGCATCGTATCGGTAACCAGCACTTGGGCTTTGCCCGCTTTCTATCGGCTTGTTATGGTCACATTCCACTCGAGATGGATTACTTGGTTCGCGGATGATGAGGGTGGCACCCTTGCGAGTTTCGCGCGGAGATTGCAGCGGCAATGTTCAACTTCAGGCTGAGGCTGCCCCGTTGAGTGAAACCAATTTCGGCTCCGCTGCTGTCATTTTACAGGGGGTTTCGAGATTTTTTTTTACTTTTTCGGCTTTTTGTTAGTTTATAAGCAAAGACTGGAATATATTTGTGGAGCAATGTCAACTTTCCAGCCCTCCTATAACACCGCTGTAACTCACATCACTTGCCCACTTGAATCCCGATGCTCTACGTGCGTGGATGTGCACAATTACACACTCGCACACATTGTACCCTGCAGTTCCCTGTAGAAATAACGGTGGATATACCGTGAACCTGTACACAATGTATCACGTGAAGAGGAGGCATGCATCGGCTCTCAATACATTGAGAGGAGAGACAGTCAGAGGTCGATGACAAGAGTGAAGGTATCTTAGCCCGGACTTGCACGCAGCAGCAGGGGGAGTCGAGAGCACGGACGGCTGGAGGGGTGGGGGGAGTTGCAGTCCCACAGGGTGGCAAATGAGAAGGAGACCTCCCACTTGGTGAGGGTCCGGCACTGGGTATGGCAACGTAAAGAATGAAATGTAACTTAGGAATCGATGAGCAGCGGACGCTGCAAAGGTTTACGGTTCGATATCCCGCGGCTGCCCCGATTATTACCGAGGTTGGGATAATCGTCGTGTGGCAATTTGCGCACTGCGCTATGCCCGCATCGTCGGTGGACGTTAAAGACCCCCCCCCCCCCCGTGATGTCATTGGCAAGAGCGTGCCGTCACGTGTCCACATTCAAAAGTGACGCCGCGAATCGCTCGATTGGGATTACGGTATGCATCGAAAATCATAAACCCCCTGCCAGCAGGTGTCTCTCGCAAACGGGACTCACCCGGTCTCCTGATGTCTCACCTGGTTAAACAAAAGCAAAGTGAAGCTGCGTCTCTTTCTGCATGTGGGTGGGTGCCTTGCAACATCTTCGAGTACAATCTGCCGCAACGAGCTCGGTGGTGGGACGCGTCGGGGCGGACGCAGAGATGCAATCGACGATCTCACACGCACGCGCGCGCACTGCACTACGCGTGGTGACCTCATGCACCTCTCCGATTAGCGCGGTTGGCTAGGTACGGTGCGAAAAAAGTTTCAATATACACACATGCACGCGTACGTGCACAGGTGGCAATTACTGCTGCAGTAATTGCGGCAGCATTGGTAAGTACGAATGGTCCCTATTGTAAGAGGTGAGCGCCGATTGGAACAATTTGCAAGGGAGACCCGGATGGATATCCCTGACGATCAATATAAATAGATACCTCGCTGATGTCTCATGCGCCTCGCGTGAGATCCATGGTTCCATGTCTTACAGGAGACCCGTAGAGACTGTGAAATGAAATGTGATTTCTCTATAATTTCTCCCGATTGATTATCCTGGGATATCCATACACGGGTGGCCATGTATGGCAATGGAGCAATGCGCATTGGGGGAGAGGAGTGGGAAATATTCAACATTCAAATAGCAAATAGGGAAATCATGCAACGTCAAAACTATACATTTGCAACGGCCGACTTGATACGAGTGGCAAATGTGTTACGCTCCCGTAGGACAGAGATATTTAAAATTTGGACAAACTCAACGGTTGACGTGTCCCGCGTGGCTCTTTCTCGCTCACGCGGTGATACTGGGACGCGATGCCGCCGGGGTCACGGGGTCCCGGGGTCACGGGAAGGTGGCATCACGGGGCCGCCCTGACTTGTCGGTGTTGCGCAGTTCTGGGACACACTCCGGACATTTGTGGGGAATCCATACTCTTTGGTTCTCTCGATAAAGTCACGTAGGTAGAAAAATAATAGATCACGACGTTTTGATCGCAACACAAGCAATCGTCATCAGGTGGGTGGCGTGGCAAGTTCCGCCCTAGCCCGGCTGATGCTCGGAGTCTCCCTGAGTCGGCCGAGGGGAGACCCTGATTTAGAAATCGCCTGGGGATCGAACTCAGGTCGCCGGGTTTGATGCGGCAGTGTAAAAAGTAAAAACCCCCAAATTCCTCCTGCCCCCCCCCTAACTCCCTCTTCTTACACATACACATCACACGGACCCCCCCCCCCCCCCCCACACGCATGGACACATACAACAAGCCCCACCCATTACACATGGGAACACGCACACACATCCACAAAGGCAAAGATAACCCGTATAGCCTTAATAGACTGTTGGGTCAAGTACTGTTCGCGAACACTTATTAAAGTTGTTACGGCACACAAGACGGTGGGTAGGACAGCACCACGCCTGTCCGCCTTTGTCTCCCAAGTGGCGATTTCTACATACCGCACCAGGTACTCATTTAAGGCTGAGTCTACCTCGGGGAGGCCCGGACCGATTCAGATAATCGTCACTGGTGTTGACCGTGAGCGGGAATCGAACTCGGGTCGCCGAATTCGTAGCGCGGCACAGCGCTAACCGCTACACTAGCGCTCCACACCCATCACAAAGATCCCCCGTGTAGCCTTAACAGACTGTAGGGGCAAGTGCTGTTAGCGAGCACCTATGAAGGCCGGAACGGCACACGAGGGGGTGAGTGGCCAGCACCACGCCCGACCGCCTTTGTCTCCCCAGTGGCGATGTTTGCACACCGCACCAGGTACTCATTTAAGGCTGAGTCGATCTAGGGGAGGCCCAGGACCGGTTCAGATAATCGTCACTGGTGTTAGCCGTGAGCGGGAATCGAACCCGGGTCGCCAGGTTCATAGCGCAGCGCGCTAACCGCTACCCATCACACGCACACACACGCACGCACGCGTACCACCCCACCCGCACCCTCACACCCCCACCCGTCCACACGCGCGCACTCATAATGAGCGGGATTGTTTGTGTTTCAGCCCCGCGGTTCCCGTCCCGGCCAAGGTGCCCAAGGGATCTCGGGAACCCCTGGGCCCTCCGGCGTTCCGGGCATTGACGGAGTGGACGTGAGCCTTAACACCCATCTGACCTTAACTCCTACTGCACGTGGCTTATCCCTTACTGCTATATATATGTGTACACGAGTTCGTGCATAATGCTACACATGTCTGCGTATGTGCATGAAATATGCGTTTGTCCGTGGGGAAATTTAAAACTTAATGCAATAATTCGGTCTTGTCTTACGTGGGGATTTACTTTTTTTTTGCTGGGATGTATATTCGTATCCGTGTCGTCGATTCCCCCCCCCCCCCCCCAAGATGTTTTAACTCAAATAAACATCACTGAACTCATTTAACAAAGCAAGCTGTAAACCAAACCAACCCCACCCCCACCCCTAATCTCAATTAAAATGTATTCATGATTTTTTCACGGTATCTTAATGGTTTAATGTTTTTTGATGGTATTCATGTTTTTTCATGTTTTTCATGGTATTCATTGTTTTTCACGATTTTTCATGTTTAAATTTCAAATAAAATGTTTGTGTTCTACAGATTGGAATTATTGAGCAGAAGTTGTTTTGTTCAATGCGTAAAACTAATTGTTTTATAGTTCCTGTACGTATTTGTTTTTCGATTTCACTCAAAGCGGTATCATAATCTCCACCTACGTTGACTACATATGCAGATTAAATCGTTCACTAAACGTATTTTCTTAAAACCTCATTTGCTTCAAAGATGCACGACGCGATTGGTTGGTTGAACAAAGTATGTTGGATGAAAAACATGAATTTTAACAACACTTAATTCTTTAAAATCTCAATAACAACTAGACTTTTTTTGCAATACGCACCCCCCTCCCATGTAAATACATCCGTACAAATACTAAACACATGACTAATAACTTATACTTAACATATACTAAACACACGAATAATAACTTCATGAAAGTTTAACATTTGTTGTGTTTAGTTTATTGTCCTTCCCCCGCACGGTTGGCTACGTACGGTGCGAAAGAAGTTCAACATACGTACATTACTTAATATTTTTTGCATTTATTTCACAGGGTGAACGTGGACCTCAAGGGCTTCCTGGACCGCTGGTAATAATTCAACTTCACTCCTATCGGGATAAAAAGAAACAATCATCACATTAGACCACGAGTCCAGACGAGATAATTGCAATATAATGGGAAAGAACCACCTGAGGTGGGTTATATCTTTCGTGGTTCCGTATGGTGCAGAAGAAATTCAACATACATTCTGTACGTACAACCATTTGCAATGAGTGGGGTTATCGAGTACGTACTGTACATCTCGCGTATTCGCCATATACAATAAATCGTTGCTGCTAAAATGTTGCGACCCAAGGTGCCACCAATATCTTGCACTGGCTGGCACATGGACAATATCCTTCACGTGCAAAAAATGCCCTTGCCACGAGAATGTGGATTTTCCACTTGCTAGAGGAAACAGAGAAGAGCACCAATCACAGTGTCCGTCGAGAGCATGCAGACGATGTTCTTGGTTCTTTCGGTAAAGTCACGTAGAATGGAAATAATAAAATAATAAAAATAAAACATAATTAAATAATTCTCACGACGTTTCGGCCACAACGCAAGCAGCCGTCCTCAGGCTTGGGGTGTTTCATTCAGACTCTGTCTTCTCGACAGACCTGTTCTCCACCTGAGGACGGCTGCTTGCGTTGTGGCCGAAACGTCGTGATAATTATTTAATTATGTTTTATTATTATTTTATTATTTCCATTCTACGTGACTTTACCGAAAGAACCAAGAAGATGAATCCCTGCAGTCACGAAAGCTTTAAATCGAAATTCATGCAGACGATATTCCTCGACGTGGATTCACAGCACAATCGTCGCATATTCGAACTGGCCAATTATCCACCCAGACATTTTGCGTGCGTGTGTTTAGTGCGTTGTCCTTCCCCCGCACCACCGATCAGCACGGTTGGCTACGTACGGTGCGAAATAAGTTCAGCATACATACATTCTACCGAATAATGGTATCTTCCATGAGCGTAATGTCCACCACAGTAGCTACAAATAGAAAGCGTCGCGTTTAAACGCTCCAACGGAGATTGGGAAATCCTTTCAAGAGTTGAAAAAAGAGAGAAACTGGGGAAAAGATAGCAACCTCTTTTTGTTGAATAGGCACAAGTACCCTGACAGATGTCAAGAAGGCAGAAGAAAATCTAACGATCGCTCGTGGGTGGAGGGGAGGTGGACAGAATGATCCATCGTTTGCAAACCGAGGAAGATTCTGCGAGGTGGTCAAGACGATCAACAGGACAAAGTGCTTTTGACCTGGTTTATACAAAGGAGAAGCGAAGGGATGCCAAAACCCTGGTGCGGGCAGCCAGTTAAACATTAGGCTGGGCTGCGATCCAGTCCAGTAACCTACGGGTGCATGGTCGGTCATTTCTTTACTAGACACGTTCTCATATCTGACACGTACACGTCTGACACGTTCGCAGTCGGCCTGTAACTGGGTCCACGTCGGCGAGTGGGTGACGCCACGATTTTGCTGTCTCTCCCGCAGGGACCGAAAGGAGACGTGGGTGACCCGGGCGTGGAAGGCCCGCTCGGCCTCCCAGGCATCCCTGGAGTCGATGTGAGTTTCTGGAAATGGAATCTGTTCGCTTCCTTCAGCTAATCTCTCCTCGTATTTATTGGACCCCTTTGTTTCGCCAGTATCCTTTCTTGCAATAAAAACAGGTGTTCGAGAAGTACAAACACCAAATAGATTCCTATTGCAGGGCATCAAGCCTGCATTAACCACACACACTCGTGGCAAAAGATGCACGCAAACATGCTCTGATAAAATATGCATTGCTTTGAAACTGATTGGCCTACACCAATCTCTCCTCACTTGCCCCCTCCACTCCACACGCCTGCAGACTACGGTGCGTTTGTAAAATCCGTGCAAGTCCAGCGCATCGGCACCAAACCTAAAGTTGCCACCTGGGGAAGTACAAAACACATTCCTGCGGAGGGAGCTGGTAGGAACGTTGGGTTGCTCGGTCAATGGCCAGGGTCAACGGCGGCGTGGTGTATTCCGCAAATATGCCCGACTGTAAGGGCGGGCACAAGCCGGCGTGAGTAGGTTAAACGTTGAGTTTTATAAGGGCACCAGGGGGTGACCAGCCCCTCCCCTCCCCACCCAGCCCCACCCCTCCCACCTCCCACCCAGCCCTACCCCACCCTTCCCACCCAGCCCCTCCCCACCCTCCCCACCCAGCCCCTCCCCACCCTCCCCTCCCCACCCAGCCCCTCTCCACCCTCCCCTCTCCATCCAGCCCCTCCCTCCCCACCCAGCCCCTCCCTGCACGACGGACACAATAATCCCCTGTGGGCTGGTGTAACCTGGCGGTTCCTACCAGTATAACCGGGGATGTATTTCATGGAAATAATAATACTATCTGCCAACAATAACAGAATGGAAGAGAACAACATTCAAATGCGTTGCCTTGAGTCACGTAGTATTCATCATGCAGCAGACAAGTTACCCATGAAAAAGCTTCCACCGTGAAAGCCGAAGCATTGCAACTGAAAGTTGCCTATTGTGGGTGGCTCAAGAACCCCCCCCCCCTCCCACCAAGGTGACAATGCAAGCCACCGGTGCTCATAGAGCGACCGGCTCGGCACACAAAGCCTCCACAGTGCTGCCCACGCCCGTCACTGGCTGGCGTCTGCCTCGGCCGGGCATGGGATTCCTTTCTTCAGCTAGATTGGTGCCGGTGAAAGAGACGTTGAGAGAGAGACAGACGGGTGAAGGAGATTGTTTAGGAGGTGGGTATTGGGTGTCGGGCCGCTGGGATGATTGTGTTGGGGGTCGTGGTAGGCAGGTGGGGGTGGGGGTAGGCAGGTGGGGGTAGGCAGGTGAGGGTGGGGGTAGGCAGGTGGGGTGGTGATAGGCAGGTTGGGGTGGGGGTAGGCTGGTGGGGGTGGGCAGGTGGGGGTGATGGTAGGCAGGTTGGGGTGGGGGTAGGCAGGTGGGGTGGAGGTAGGCAGGTGGGGGTGGTGGTAGGCAGGTTGGGGTGGTGGTAGGCAGGTGGGGGTGGTGGTAGGCAGGTGTTGGGTGGGGGTAGGCAGGTGGGGGTGGTGGTAGGCAGGTGGGGGTGGGGGTAGGCAGGTGGGGGTGGTGGTAGGCAGGTGGGGGTAGGGGTAGGCAGGTGGGGGTAGTGGTAGGCAGGTGGGGGTAGTGGTAGGCAGGTGGGGGTGATGGTAGGAAGGTGGGGGTGGTGGTAGGCAGGTGGGGGTAGGCAGGTGGGGTGGGGGTAGGCAGGTGGGGGTGATGGTATGCAGGTGGTGGTAGGCAGGTTGGGGTGGGGGTGGGGGTAGGCAGGTGTTGGGTGGGGGTAGGCAGGTGGTGGTAGGCAGGTTGGGGTGGTGTGTTTTTTGGGTTTTGATGCGGTGTTGTTCGGCACGGCTTCTTGTGAAGAATCATGCAGAAGAATGTTCTTCATTGCAAGGCCCGCGGGCCACTGGCGGCCCCGGGTGGACTTTAGTGCTGCCCCTGACGTGCGGCCCCCCGACAATACACGAATGCTGAAAACACCCCCATCACGGCTGTCAAACCCCAACGATTTATAAATTCGTGGCGGCCCTCACACACTGATGATGTCGGTGTCTGATCGGTGAAAGTGGCCCCCCTTTGAAAATTAGCGAACGCTGATCGAGCTCGTGGAATGACGGAAGAGACAGATGATGTTGTTGATGTTTTAACGAATTTCGTGAGATGGCGCTCCCGTAGCGTCACCCCTCCAACAGTCAACCTGGATTAATTTCAGTCACCAGCATCATCATCACCAGCCATGGTCAATCAACTGCTGGATGGAGGCCTCCCCAAGCCGTCCACTATCTCTTGCGATCCTTCTATCTAACAATCTGTGGAGCACCTGCACACGGGGCTGTCCAGTATCAAACAGAATCAGCATATTTATTTATACTGGAGGAATCCCTATAAGCTTTACAGCTCGTTTTCGAGTAGGGGTGGATCAGAATGTTACAACAACAAACAATACAAAAAACACGATAGGAGTGCAAAGTATAGGAAATGTAAAGAAATCATTTTTAAATATAGACAAATAAAACTAAACAGTTTCAAAATTTAGCAGGTAAATTTAACACGTAGGCTTTCACGACTAGTATTAATCATAATTAAGCTTTTTGGGTTAGATCGCGTTATTTATAAATGTGTCGCGGCCAATCAGGTAAAGCCCACTCCGCTATTCGCTTATTTTTTTTAGAAATGACCTGGTCACAAATGATAACCCGACGAAGTGGCTCACGTGGAAATGTATGGAACCAAATACTTTAAAGGCACGTTCTCTAAATATTTCTAAACGTGCTTATATTACCATTATGAACTATGTTTTATTTTATCAGGTAATGCTGCCCTGAGCTATTAGCTTCTTTTTCAGAAGCGACCTGGCCACAAATGACAGCTCAGCGACGTGGCCTATCGTCGTGTGGAAATGTACCGGTGCATTCCCGTCACTGTGTGCATTGTGCAAGGCGCGGGGTAAAGCAGCCGCCTATCTCGGCACGCCTCAATCCTCAGGGCCCAGCTGCGGCCAGTCCTCCAATATCAAACAATGCCCTCCGTTGAATTGCACATTTTTACCGTGAACATTGCCCACGACAGGCTGACGTGAAGACGACGCCGCAGCAGATGGTGCAGACATCACCGCCGCTATTTCAGCGAGATTAAACGTTCGAGACATCAGCTTAGAACGTGATTTTGTTTGTTTGTTTGTTTACGTTTCAACCCCCTTGTCAATCCACTGCTGGACAAAAAGCCCTCGCCAACGCCGTGTCAGTCGTGTGCGGAGGTGGAGGGTGGGAGTGGGGGGTGTGTTTAACGATACTTCACCATGCTGGTCGGTGCAGTTTTTTTCAAGGTGGGGAGACTCAGGGTCGTCTTGGATCTCACTCGCTACTGATGTTGGCCGTGGCCGGCGATATTCAAACTTAGGTTAATGGGTCGCTTCCTCCTCCACCCGTCGGATAGATATATTGCCTGGAACTGAAGCGGTGCAAATGATAATGAAGGGGGTGATTAATGATTGAATTGGGCATTGGTCAAATCTACAATAAGGCAGGGGCATCTCTCCATTGACAGGTGGTTCCTATTTGGGTAATCACCACACTTTAACTCGGAACACAGAGCGGCGGGACAAACTCAAATGTAATTAAATAAAAATGCACCGTTGGGTCGGCTGAAAATAAGCTCAAATTCTGCGCCAATTTTGAGCATCGCTCGTCTCTAAAGGCCACGTGGTCCTCAACAAGGCAATAAAGTTAAACACAGCGCGCTGGCAACGTGGTCTGCATCCTCTCCTGCTCACGACGATTTAATCTGTAACGCATGGCAAGGCATTCATCATGTTCATCGTCGCCGCCGTCGTCACCACCGCCATCTAACCCTTGACCTCAACGGCCGTGGGGTCGCCACTGATGGCTGCCTGCCACCCCCCCTGCCTGTCCTTAGCGGCCCGTCAGCTGTTGTTCCGTCTTTTCAGCGCATGCCATTGCATTTGTCATCCGATTGATCTTGGGTCATCCTCTCCTTTTTACTTTTGCCGTCCCCTGTCTGACGGTGTTCCTTAAGTCACCATTTTTGTCGAAACATTCAATGATGCTCGTTAATATTTTTTTTCTCTCTCTCGACATTTTCAGGGATTAACCGGCCCCCAAGGCAATATTGGTCGTGCCGGTCCTGCAGGTGCCAAAGTAAGTTTTATTTAAATTAGTAAAACAGTTTAAATGTGTATCTCGTATACATTGTGCTACTTTGTATTAGCTGTGCTGGCTAATTAATACGCACACAAGTGCGATCGATGCCATGTGTCGGTTATAAACTGCCAAAAATTATATTCACAAGAAATTACAAATATTAAAGGCAATCGTCTCAAACTCCTGTGCAATTTTTGCAAACACATATCGGTCACGAAGTGGCCCTCAAAGAGCCTCGTGTGGCTCTGGAGCAGCAGGTTTTACGACCCCTGGTCGACGCGATCAACACAAGAACGGGGACTGCTCCACGCAGGCCGTGTAAACGCGGGCACACGGCTACGTGTTTGAACGCATCGCGGCCTTTAAATATACAATTGGGGGTTTCCTGCGATTTTTGCTTAATTGGTGCTAAACGCAGCGGCTGCAGCATGATTTGGCCACAGTTTCCACTCTGGAAAGCGCGCAGCCTGGCCAGGCACAACCCCAACAAATTATTATTCCAATTACAACATTCTCCCCGCTGTGCCAAGGGAGAATAAATCAAAGATTCTTGATTCTCAGGAGCAGCCAAATGGCAAGCGGAAACGCTCGATTTAGAACGTTTACATGTATTTAAATACATAGATCTTTGGATTAAAAAATATACTATGTGGTGACCACTCAAACGTCATCATCAGCGATGGTCAATCCACTGCTGGATGAAGGCCTCCCCAAATTGTCGCCACTTGCCGTGAACCGCTGATGCAGCGCCTGCACATGAACCGATTTGATCACTCCATCTCCACTGGTGGACAGAATTTTTGGCCGAAGTTAATCCCTTGGCTGCCGCTCCATCAATAATTATATTTTGTACTATTACTCCTCATCGTCATGTATTATTACGTATACCACACCCCTCTCATGGAGCACACCTCGAGGCACCGGATCAAAGGTGGCATTTGAGACAACTACCGAGTAAGGGAGTAACTTGCAGACCAAATTCGGTGCCCCACATCAATAGAGAATACACAATATACACAACAAATGAGAATAACCAAAACTGAAAAGATGTACCCTGCTTGAGAATTCTCTACATTTTGTGAATTTTATTTGAGCTGTCCGTTCGCAACGTGAAAATCACGTCCAACATTGCCGTCTTAAATTGATGAATCGGGGTGCTTTTATAATAATTTCGGGTAAACTGTTCCACAACTTCGGTTCGAAAAAAACATCGAATGCCTTTTCAGTAATTCTGACTTTCGTTCACCATTCTTGTTACAACCAAAATCCTATCGCTGGAGTGTAATGTACAGTTTTGGAACGTAATTATGCAATCATTCTGCCAAATATGCAGTGGCGCCCATAACCGCAGTAATACACTACACGAGTGAGCAACACCAGTTTTTCACTGTCAGCTACGTATTTGCACAATTATCATATTCTCACGATTGTACGATGCAACGGAAAGTAATGCACAACCCAAACTTGTCCCCGGTGTTCAATAAAGTTATACAATTATGTTAACACACACACAGACTGGCAGATATACACCTACTGGATTAGAACATGCAACCCCAGCTTTTACTTAAAAATACATTGAAAAAAGTACGTTAGAATACAGTGAATGCGCTATTGTGTTTGGTGCAATTTGCCAGTTTCAATTGTTAAATATTCTTTAAGCACTTATATTTGCCTACACCTCCAATACGTCCCGTTCCGCTGTTGCCATTTCTTCCACGGGGAGCACTTTGATGTTGTTGTTCTTGTCCTGTGGGTGATGTACCACAGATCTCCCTTTGAAAACTAGCTGGATAACTGGCTACACGGGATTTTCTGTGTAAAAATGTAAAACCTTGATTGAGTGACTGAGATCACAGTACCTGATTTTTTTGGAGCGAAACGTCGGACAAGATGCTGAACAATGCGCGGTACAAGACGAAAACGCATCCGAGAGTTAGATTGTTGTTGTTGTTTCCTGTGTGCAGCTTTGTTCGCTTCTTTAGAATACAAACAGACCATTAGCGCATAATTTGAATGTCATTTTCAGACGTCGCAAACTCTAAATTATTAGGCATGCAATATAATGCACGTTTTGTTCGCCCATGTATCTAAACCTTCTGTTGACCTGATTCATCGTTACATGCCTGATGAGACAGACCAATGAAGTATTTATGATGATGATGATGGTAATGAAGATTATTTTCTTTTTTTCAGGGTGATCCAGGTCTGGCCGGCCCACCTGGGGTCCCAGTAAGTGCCGTTCACTTTCTCCTTTTCTGATTCCTCTGCCTCGTGGAATTTACGAACCACAACATACGCGTGTCTATGACCAAATCAAGTGGAAATAGGCCCAATCTTGTCAGCTCTCTGAAGCTAAGCAGGCTTGAGTCTGCATCTTGCACGGGTGACCACCGTACATAACAGGTTGTTACAGGCTGGGGGGCTGGCAGAAGGCAATTCAGAAAAAAATCTATTGTTGTACTGTACTTCTGTCACATTTATATGCCTCCCACCAAGTTGCTCTGACGAGCGTGGCGAAGTATGGTCAAACAAATCTCCACGGCCCACACCAAAGTTGGGATGCCCCCATTCGGAAGTGGATTGACAAAAGGGGCTATACGTGTACACACATAGAACGTTTGTAAGTGAACTTTATTTATAACCAGGTGAGAGCCCACGTAGAGAAGGGAGACCTGCGTTGCAAACAGAATATATAGTACAGAGATATGCCATTAAACAAAAACTTCAACTACGATTAAACATAGAAAAGGCACGCATATGCATGGCTCTGTGTTGTTCTTGAAAGTATTTATTAGCAGTAATGAAAACTGGTGGGCAGCTGTACGGGCAAAATTGCCTTTGCATATTTGTGAGTAGTCCTATTAGCGCTGGTGTGCAACTGCAAGATTCGGGCAACTCTATAGTCAAGGTAGCAGTATCGATGTTCGTATGGTATCAAGGGCACACCAATGACACAACAAAGTGTCAATCACTCAACCACGCTGCGTATTAGCGTCACGTGGAGAGCACGGCTGCTGAATGTTGCTATTTTCTGTCACCTCCCGTTTTGTTTCTCCAGGGCGAAGGCATTGTTGGACCGCCCGTGAGTGTCAATATTTTCCAACATCCTTCGTTAGCTCGTTTTTGTGCAAATGTATAGAATAAACAAATATTCAAATTAATAATTTGTCCCCTGGCGCTTTTTATGGCGGAGATGGGGCGGGGAAATCTAATCTGCGATTGCACTTCGCAGTACGCTCTAGAGAAGCTCTCTAGAGCGGCCTCTAGTGGAGGCCCTTCCGACAGCAGTGGCGTCAGCACTGCACTGCAGGGCTGCACCTCTACCTTTTACTTTACAACGTGCAGTCCTGCTGATAGTTTTCTTAAACTATTCGGTAGTCAATGTTGTCATTTCTTTCATGCCGGTTTGTTTTTCACCTAAAGAAATATCGTCGAACATTTTCTCTGTTTGTAAAAAAAATACAATTGAAGCATTGTTCCACTTTGTGTGCGAGTGAAGTTTTTTAAAGTCCACCTGGCCTGGCACAGGCGCCGTGGTGACTTCGCCGTCACTGAGTGGCGAATGGCTGGTATTGGCATTGTTTTTTAAAAGCATTGTCGTTTTGCGTTTAGGGACCTGCTGGATTGGGTGGCCTTCCCGGAGAGATTGGGAAACCTGGGCAGATCGTACGTAATGTTCCGTCTACGGCGTTTATTCCCGCACGCAGCCAGATTGTAGAGATCCACATGCACTTCAATAGCTTGAATAAACTCGCAATAATAATATTAGCCTGATCAACCTAGTGCAATAACATGCAACTCTGCTTTCATATACGCATATATGAGCAGAACTCTGTTCTAGTTTCCACACATGAAACATATTTTATAGTCCATCGGCATACTGACTCTCCAGACCAATATTATCCAGCAGCAGCATTTGTTAAAGCAAGCAAACTATCTGGACTGGTTTCGACTTCACGGGCTCTCATCGGCGGGAGTCAGGTTTGTTCAACAAGCGGCTGCTGGGATGGCAGGTGAAATCGTCAGACAAAGAGGGAGATCATGTCCTCTTGGAGATGGAGCTCGCGTGCAGGAGGGAAGGGACTGCCATATCGCAGGGACCAGGAGAGATGGTGACAGGCCTGTGGATTTTTCTCCGGGTCCTCCGGTTTTCCCTTGCGCATTTAGAAAGATGCGTGTAGAGCATTTGGTTGCTATAAATGTTCACATGATACGCCACTTCATTGAGCTATCATTTGTGATGACCAGGCCACTTCTGAAAAATAGCTAAATAGCTCAGTGGTAAATAAAAGTAGGTTTCGATAGGTTTATTTCTAGTTTTTAATAGTAAAAAAAAAATGTGATAATGTGCGGTGTTGCTTTTCAGGGTGAGATTGGGCCTCAAGGACAACCAGGCCCTCCCGGTCTGCCAGGCCCCAGGGTGAGCTCCTCACAAGTCTCTCGCAACGCCACCTACCCCCTCCTCCTCTCGCGAATTCAATGCCGTTATTTTTTTTTCCGTTGCCCCATGTGAGAAGTTGAGTGATGTTCATCATCTCCTTCTCCCGATTCCTTCCAGGGTCTTCCTGGGATTCTCCAAGGAGATGGCAGCGGGGATATCCAGGTAAAAATACAACAGATAAATGTGCGTATATATTTGTTGGCACTGATATATTTGCGATGTTTTTTTTTAAATATGCAAATTTGTTTATGTAGTGTCAAAGTTAAGCTCAAATGTCAAAAATTATATGTAAAGATATAACCTCATTAGACAGTAAATGCAGACTGAAAACCTTGTTTATAATCAGGCGAGCACCCATTCGATTGAACTTATACTTTATAAACAAGAAGATGAACATATAAATGAAAACATGCGCAAGTAAGAAATCTTACATTGACTGTCAGAAAAAAGCAAAGTAATCGGGGCCTCTGCGGGACACGTCGCTCAAAGGGACGATGTCTGGTGGTCGAGACTAACGAAGGCGTGGCAGCCAAAGGAGGGAGCGTGCCCGATAGTACGTCCACCTCGGAGACGGAACGATTACTCAGCTCGTGTGCAGGTGCTGCGTGGATTGTTGAAGGATGGGGAGGATTTTAACCAGTGGTGGATAGATCATCACTCCTGCTGCTGCCTATGGCTGCTACTGCTGCAGCTGATAATGATGAATATGATTGTGTCTGTCTGTGTGGCTCTACAGTGTCCATCGTCCTGTCCCGCCGGGCCCCCTGGCCCTCCTGGGCTGCCGGGGATGAAGGTACACACACGGGCAAGATAGTCCAGGACAACGCCCTCAGCTGTCCAGCAGGACATGTCATGGGTTTCATCGTAGAAATGCGATCCACAAAACATAATTGCAGAGATTATTACAGTTGTGTGGTCAGTATTCGGTTGACTCCCATCAATCAATCAACGTGTCAATTTGCAGACTTCAGTATTAATGTCTACCCATATATTCTGTCAGCTGTACACAAACACACTTCCATTATTACCTGTTTTCTACAAGATGCTTACCTAACCATCTGCCTTATCTACCTATATACCAGCCTACCTACCGATTTACCAGTCTTCTCGACCATCCATCCAGTACAGTACTAGACTTGAAAACATTTCGTCAATATACTATTTTGTAACCCTGTTATCGTCTAGGGTCACAAAGGTTTCAAAGGTGAATTTGGAGATCCTGGGAAGCAAGGTCACAAGGTGAGAGTGCTTTGTGTTTTGGGTTTTTGTGTTCAATTTTCGACTGTAGTTCAGCTTTCTGAGACGCAATAAGTATTTAAAGTGGCCGGGGTCGACAGGAAGCGTGCCTCGCCGCTCGTTGCAGAGGTTCGCGGTTCGAGGCTCGGCGCCCGCCCTGGTTAACACTGCGGGTTTCATGAACCGTCAATACATGCGCGTCCGATTCGCGTGAAGACGTTAAAGATCACGTGACGTAATACGCGAAATAGCGGGCCTTGTGTGCCGGCATCATTGCCAAATCTGAAATGTTAACCCACAAATTGCTTAAGTGCGCAAAAACCACATGTCGGCCTCAGGCCCTCCCCGACTGGCAGATTATACTCGTCTGTGAAACATAGTGCCACTGTGATAGCCTGGCGCTAAATGGTAGGCGGAGACAACGTATGGGCTACGTTGTTATGAACATTGTTACTAAAAGTTATCGGGCATTTTAAAGATGTTTTTAGAGCAACGTGAATCTTACAATGACACTTTTAAGTGTGCGTGTTGCGTAAGTTTTTCATCATATAATGGCTCGGATGTCGCATAGTTAGTTGGAAGAGCTGCAAAGCTCAACAAACGTGATATTGCAAGTTCAAATCGTGGCCATGTTTAAAATGCGGACCCACGATCAACTACAATAGCATCGTTATCATCAATCACCATCACCTAAATGATCATCATCATCATCATCTCTCCATGATGAGAAGAAAATAAAAGCACCATCTGCTGAGTATCATTTCAAGTGGGGCAGACAACAGTGTTTGTCCTATGGAGTGACCGGTCCCTGCCATATGATTTCTGAATTTCCACCATCGGATTAAAAGTGACATTGAGGAGGAACACCGTCCGATGCGTGAGAGAGCAGCGAAAATGTTATATATCGTTAGAATTAAAAACGCATTGATATGTTGTCCATAAATGCATATGAATTGAAGTGTGTTCTTACACGTGTCGCATTACAATCACAATAACTGCCACCCTTGACGTTCCAATTGGTCAGGGAGAAGAGGGCCACCAGGGACCGTCCGGCCAATCTGGCCCACAAGGCCCAGAGGTCAGTTGCGTCACCCAACAGCCACTGCCATGGCCCTCCTAAACCACAACCACCACCACCACCACCACCAAACAACAACAAACGATCCCAGCAACACCACCCCACGCAACGTCGCAGTTACGAGCGGGCTGCACGAATGCTGCACAACGCTTCTTCCTTTAGACGACTTCTCTGCCATAGTAGATTTCATGGGTGGTGGGGGGGGGGTCTTGCGGTTTTCATGGTTTCCAGCCCGGGAGGATATTTTCAGAAGTTCGTCTCGTCGTTGATGAAGTCAGCCGGCAAGATCTCGGCACATGAGGGAGACCACGAGCATCGGTTGTTCATCATCTCCCCCCGCCCCCACCCCCGGCCACCCCACCAAGTGAAGGATGAGGGATGAGACCTCGAGTGCGACTGTGGCCATGAGACCCAGACCGTGGAGCGTATCGCAGCAACCTGTCCACTGTGGATCTGTTGTTGGGGGGGGGGGGGGGATGGGGCTTCACTTCTCCACTTAGCATCTCACGAAGCCACTGAGTGGATCGCCAAATGAAACATCCTCTATAACAAGCGGTGCTCTTTCCTGCCTGCCATTATAGACAGGTCGGCAGATTTCCTTCATAAGTGAGAGCCCATTGGAGATCTGGCTTCACAATAAATGTATCATACGTCCAACAGGTACTGAAAAACGCAGGTCCATTCGGTTAACCATTGTCTTTAAAAGCAAATCTAAATAACATGTTATAAAAATGTACGTTTAAAAAAATAATATCACTTAAGTAGAACTTTTATTTAAGGGGAAACTTGATACATTCGCATTAAATGCGGGCGTGAATCGTGGGGAAGAGGACCCAGGCTCGTCAAGAGTTGAGAGAGTCCGCTGTGTGACATTGCAAGTCACGTGCACTGCGCGCGGAGAGATACTGAGAGAGCAAATATCTTTGCACTCATTTGCCTCGCTTGTTATTATTCCTGAGTTGTCTTCAATCACACTCTACCTAGCAATTCTATAACAACCCATTCTTCAGGGGGGGGGGGGGGGGTTCTGAGAATAATCTGAGAATAATCTGTCGAGCGCCTTTCATACCACAGGGTCCAAGGAACACTTCACACAAGTCACGATAAAACAAACATTGCCAACAAGTATATAAAAAAACCACTCATTAAACAAAGGGGAAAACATGAATAAAACAGTAAAATAATCGTCAGATGCCAAAATAATGTCCGAAGGCTAAATAATATAAATTCACCTTAAAGCTTTGATTTAATGATGCGATGGCAATTTTTTTTACATCATCTTCAGATGCAGCTGCATTCGGACGCCACCTAAACCCCTACTGCACTCCCGCACCTCCGATTAGCACGGTTGGCTACGTACGGCGCGAAAGAAGTTTGACGTTGCGCGCCCCGTACGTTGACACGCAATTGCGCCGCGCTCGTATTCCACGCCAAAGCCGTCGCTCGAAAGCGAGAGGGCGTGAGCTTCCCGCGTGCGACTCTGCTGTAATCTCGGCTCTGCGATCAGACTCCAGTTAATTGTTTTTTAAATTTCATTTAAATTTTTTGTAATTTTAATTTTTTTGTGTGTGCCTCTTTGCTTTGAAGGGACCTTCAGGGCTGCGAGGATTTCCCGGAATGATGGGATCAAAAGGCGAAAGGGTAAGTGGCGGAAATTAGGGGCCCCCACAATCGCGGCGTGTTCGCGGGCAATTGATTGTAACTGGGCGCAACTTCTGAGGTGCCTGTTGTGTGTTGCGTGTTCTGTGCCCAGAGGGGCGGGGGGCAGTGTGTGATGGCTACATTTGTAGAAGCGTTGTGATGAACGATGGAAGTTATTAAAATGTATCGGTTCAAAACTCGGCTTGTCCGGCTTCACTCGACGATCTGAACTGGCGCGGGAGGCGGTGGGATTCATCTGAAAATCAGTCCACCGAGTGCGGGGTATGTGTCAACTCGGTCTCAAATTAGTACCTGGTGCGGTGTGTAAACATCGTCATTGAAGCGACAAAGGCGGCCGGGCATGGTGTAGGCTACCCACCCCCTCGTGTGCCGTGCCGGCCTTCATAGGTGCTCGCTAACAGTGCTTGCCCCAACAATCTGTTAAAGCTGAACAAGGGATCGTTGTCTTTGGAGCGTGGAGAGCGGTGGTTCGCACGCTGTGTTCCGAACCTGGTCACCTGAGTTCAATTCCGGGTCATGGTTACCATCAGTGTCTCAGGAATAGTGCTGGTATAAAACCGTGTTATTTGAACTTGGCCTGGGTCTCCCCAAGGCCATCTTAGCCATATATGAGCATTTGGTGTGGTGAGTAAACACCCGCAAAAACCATGTTGGCTGGGCGTGGTGCTGAGCACAACGCCATTTGTTGAGCCCCCAAGCCTTCATAGGCGCTCGCAAACAGCACTTGCCCAAACAGTCAAGACGGCTGAACTGGGGCGTTGCCTCTGTACGAGGATTGTTGGTGCCATGGCTGCTAGTGCACTGCACCACGATCCCAGTTCGACACCTGGCCAAGGCAATTCCTATCGTCCGATGACAAACACAAAAAAATGTGAATATGAAATGTGAGGTGGATAACAAAGGTGGCATGCCATCTGTGGTGATGACCGAACTTGCGTGAGCTTTGCCGTGCTTGAAACAAGTGGTCACTTAAACAGAGCTGGCCACGACAACATCAGAATCAGAATATTAGATTTTTACTGGAGGAGAAATCCGATGAGCGATAAAGCTCTTGTTAACAGATGTCCAGTAGGGCTGGATAAGAACGTTGCAACAACAAACAGTACTAAAACATGATAGGAGTGCAGAATATAATAAAGGTAAACAAATCGCCCAAATACGTACAAATAAAACGAAACCATCCCCATCCTACCAGGAAAAGCCCGCTGAGGTATTAACTTATTCTTCAGAAGCAACCTGGCCACAAATGATAGCTCAACAAAGTGGCACGATAATGATGTTGGGGTGAGCTCATTGACTTTGTGTGTGTGTGTCCAGGGTGTCTCTGGGTTCGACGGAGTGCCCGGACCTCCTGGTTCACAAGGGGAGCCGGTAAGTGACCCTAACTCACGTGTCTCCACTTTCCCGGCCTCACACAATTCACAGCCATCGACATTCTTTCATAGAACATGTAATCCTAACAACCGAACAAATGGTGAGATAGTATTTTCACCCCTACAGAATTTGGACCTCGGGGCTCAGTATTGAACCCCTGGGTACAAATGATCTTCGATCAATATGGCTCTGCTGCCAGATTGAAAAATTATCCACCTGGGGTCATAATACTCTGCGCCTATGTATCTACAAGAAGGGTACATGTATTATCTGTTCCCAATTCTTTTGTTCTCAACTTGCCTCTGACAAGCACTCACAATAAAATGATCAATTAATCAGCTGTGGTGGGGGATGCCTTGGATTCCAGTGATGCATAGGCTGCGTTGGTGGATCGCACTCAGATCACTAACACACGATTTGCCCTGGGTAGCGTAGCAAGTAGGACGCTAACCTGCTTGCTCAACTGCGCCCATCTGAAAGTCGGAGTCGCTGCGAAATAATGTTTCATATGGTACAGTATTACATTTTACGGTGTTTTGTGCTTTCATGTACTTCTCGTATAAAGCAAGATTGCTTAAAAATGATTCAACTGCAGTTCATGCAGCGTAAGCCTACAACGAACCTTCTAATCTTTGTAATTTTACAACCTATGACGGATACAATGCACATACCGTCACAAAATGTTGTCATACCACCGCCGTGCCGTCCATTAGTCTGGACAAAGTTGTTAACAAACCGCTAATTTAATAGGTAACTGCCATTTTGGTCGGTAAATTCAATATTTAAGAAGACAATTAAACGAGCGACGACAATCACGGTGTAAACAACACCTAGCGATACGGACGATACGATATATAAATGTAAATATTGCCGTACGACCATATACGCTGCAGCGTCGTCGCATCGCAGCAATCCTACTTCATAACGCATCGGCTCGAACGGCGGAGGCGGATCAAACAACGTGGGGGGGGGGGGGGGGGGGGTCGGTGGCGAAAGCCGGAGAGGAGAGTGCGAGGAATCGTGTCCATCGAGCGAAGCATGAAACGCATTCCGCGTCGTCACCTTCTGTAAAGCCCGACGCTAACGGCGCTGGCAGCGCTCGTTCGGGGTGAACGGGCCGAGGCGAGAGGGTGGTGTATCGCACGTCGGCGGTCTCCGGATGACAGCACGAAGGAGCGATCGCGAGCGGCCCTTGAAGTCGTCGGTGATTTGTTGGGACGACTGTTGGAATGTGTACGCACGCGACGGTGGCGGTGTAAGTCTGCAGCGCAGTCTGGAAACCGCAATATTATGGAATTTATGGGATGCCCTCCCTCCTTAACGGCGCATGTGGGTTCCCATTACAATCTGTGTGTGTGTGTGTTCAACATTTGAGTGGTAGCGTAGTGGTCGGCGCACTTCTCTGCGAACCCAGTGACACGAGTCCGATTGCCACCAGCGGCTTACATTGATGACCAATATCTGAACTGGTCCAAGGCCTCCTATGGGTTCATTCAGCCTTGAATGGTGTGTAAATGTCAGCAGTGGAGAAATAAAGGTGGTTGGTATGGAGCTAGCCACATCATGCCCTTGGGCGCCGTGCCAGCGTTAGCAGGTGCTCGCGAACAGCACTTGCCCCAGCAGTCTATGTAGGCTACACGGGGGACCTTAGCCCTTAGTACACCTTCTACAGGAAACAATTATGCACCGCTATCACTCACAGAGTAGAACCTAAACCGAACAACCTGCACTAACCAGCGTGGAGAAAGTATGGTCAAAGCCTTCATCCAGAAGTGCATTGCCAAAGGGCTGTAATTTATTACTCCTATTATTATCGCTGGAAACGTATTGGTGTTCCAGATATTGCCAACAAAAATATCCCGCAATGAAAAATAATAGGCCCAGGAGTTAGTTTACCGTGCGTGAACAACAACGGCAAAATTAATGAGAAAACGTTTCAACCATTTGGGAAAAATGTGCACCGACTTTTTCACCGTTGTACCTTGATGTTTATCATTTTAACGTAATTTAACAATCAGCGTGCTATTTTGATGCCCTGACCCTAACCCCAGAAGCACATGGAGAATGAATAAAATATCTAAGCAGCTGATTTCCCCCCCCCCTCCTGCCCCCTACCATGCACAAATGGGAATTCTGGCTCAGAAGAAAAAGCACAGATGAAAACACAATAACGTGTCTCTGTTCGCGCTACCGCGACATGATGATACCACGATGTATCGTACGATACAAGATCCACGCTGACCGTCTGGTCGTCCACTTAGCAACTTGTCGTTCGGATGCCCTCTGATTATCGTTGATTGTTTATTTAGCTTTTATATTTCATTTCTTAACAAAATATGTCTGAAAAAACCAAAAATGAAGTTGATAATAATTAAATATTCAAGTTAAATAAATAGCTGTTAACCTAATACATGAGAGCTTTGTAAAACGTTGTCCGGAGTAATGGACGGCACGGCGACGATGTGACACTCTCATTTTCTGACGGCTTGTGCGTTGTAAACGCTGTAGATTGGAAACTTACTCATTGCTGGAAGACCTATAGCAGGCTTGCGTTGAGTGAACTGCAGTTGAATAGCTATTAAGTAAATATGTATTCACTGTAGAAGTACATCAATGTACATCAAAGCAAAACGACAATACAATAAAATGCTCCATACAATTACAAATTTAAGGGCAACTCATATCGTGATAACCATATTGTCAAATTTAACGTCGTCTGATATCATGAAAAGCTGTCTCGCGCCAACCCTACTATAGATCTCGATAAACTAACTGTTGGGCCACACGGCCGCATACTATAGAGCGAGAGAGAGAGAGCCGTCAATGCCCGACACTTGGAAGGGTTTTCGCGTCTAAACTTGAGTCACTGTCAAAGTTGCTCATAAAACCGCACGTGTGAATGAACGGCGATAAATCACCGGGGCAGGTTAAGAGGGGAAACGGGGGGTACAGGCTCGAAACCATCCCAGAGGTGGCTGTAAATTCCTTGGCGTCACCGGCACATGAATGCACAAGGGCCCTCCGGATGAAAGACATTAGGAATCCCTTGTGAGACGGAGCGTACACCTTGGGAAGGCAAGTAGCCAAAGAGATCCTTGTGGGGTAGCCAAGGGGACCCATGTTGAGTAACTAAGGGGGCCCATGTTGAGTAACTAAGGGGGCTCGTGTGCAGTAACCAAGGGGATCCATGTTGAGTAGCTAAGGGGGCCCATGTTGAGTAACTAAGGGGGCTCGTGTGGAGTAGCCAAGGGGCCCATGTTGAGTAACTAAGGGGGCCCATGTGGAGTAGCCAAGGGGATCCATGTTGAGTAACTAAGGGGACCCATGTTGAGTAACTAAGGGGACCCATGTTGAGTAACTAAGGGGGCCCATGTTGAGTAACTAAGGGGGGCCATGTTGAGTAACTAAGGGGATCCATGTTGAGTAACTAAGGGGGCTCGTGTGCAGTAACCAAGGGGATCCATGTTGAGTAACTAAGGGGGCCCATGTTGAGTAACTAAGGGGGCTCGTGTGGAGTAGCCAAGGGGCCCATGTTGAGTAACTAAGGGGGCCCATGTTGAGTAACTAAGGGGATCCATGTGGGGTAGCCAAGGGGATCCATGTTGAGTAACTAAGGGGGCTCGTGTGGAGTAGCCAAGGGGCCCTTGTTGAGTAACTAAGGGGGCCCATGTTGAGTAACTAAGGGGACCTATGTTGAGTAACTAAGGGGGCCCGTGTGGAGTAGCCAAGGGGGTCCATGTGGAGTAGCCAAGGGGCCCATGTTGAGTAACTAAGGGGACCCATGTTGAGTAACTAAGGGGATCCATGTTGAGTAACTAAGGGGCCCATGTGGAGTCGCCAAGGGGGAATCTTGGCTGGTGTGAGGAGCTTAGAGTGTGACCTGGTCATCATTATTAACACCTTTTGTCGTGTATTAATTTACTTACCTTGAAAAATTACTTGCGTTGATCTCTGCAATTCGTCATCGGCCACTTCCCTGATGTAGTCGTGTAATTATTGTACGGCGTTTTGAGATGCAATTGCATTGTATGACGCTATATAAAATTCATAATTATAATGTTTACATCTAGATCTTTTTAACCTCCTAAAAACGTTATTCTTCTTCACGTGTGCCGGTATTCTTCTGTTCATGATCAATTTCCTTTGCAAAAAACAACTCCATCCAGCTCTTGCTAACCCCTTTAGTAAATATTATCTCCCGAGATCAAGAAAGGATTACCTTAAATTGAAGAGATAACACACACACGCACGCACGCACATACACATAATTACTTCATTACAGCCACCACTTATCTTCTGTAGGAATGAGGCCCTGGGTTCTTGTATAAGGCACCAGCCTATTCAAATCCAAGAGGTTATTGAAGGAAACGTGAGGGGATTCTTTTCGACCTACGTAGAATACACATCGGAGTTGTCAGGAATATTAGCCGCATACACAAAACAATTCTGCAAAAAAAGAAAAGCACGTCAAAATAAAATCCACCAGGAGAAAATGCAGGCCATACAATTACAAGATGCCTAAGTTAAACGTTGGGATTTCGATTTAAAGCTTTCGTGACTGCAGGGAGTCATCTTCTTAGTTCTTTCGGTAAAGTCACGTAGAAGGGAAATAATAAAATAATAAAAATAAAACATAATAAAATAATTCTCAAGACGTTTCGGCCACAACGCAAGCAGCCGTCCTCAGGTGAAGAACAGGTCTGTCGGGAAGACAGCGTCTGCCCTTCTACGTGACTTTACCAAAAGAACCAAGAAGATAAACGTTGGGAATTGGTCGCACACATCCGGCACAGGCTTCTTCATGCGCCGCGAGGCTTCTGTTGAATTCCTTTAACGGCCCCTTTCAACAGCAACTCTGAGCACACAAAGTGACTTCGTCGTAGTAGCAGCAGCAGCAGTAAAAGACTTTGTGTCGAAGGGTGGCTTCGCGGACAGCTGCAAGGCTTATTCAGCCGAGTCCAGGAATTCACGCAGCCAGTAACTTCTCGAGACGATGAAACCAAGTAGGCGCGTTGTTTTACCAACAGCAGCAACAACAACATCAACAACAACAACATCAACAACAACAACATCAACAACAACAACATCAACAACAACAACATCAAAGCCTTCCGCTTCTGCGGAGGCTGGCGCGGTGCAAATAAATGACCAACACTAACTAGACGCCCTGTTAAAAAAAAATCCAAAAGGTTGATCGGTGACCCTGCCCTAAAAAGCAACAAAATACAATCGGCAACTTCTAGGGACATGTTCCTTCTTCTGCCATGAGAAAGGACCAATGCCCTCAACGTCTCCTATTGTAAAATATGTATTTCCTGTTAGGCCATTGTTTCGATTTAAAGCTTTCGTGACTGCAGGGATTCATCTTCTTGGTTCCTTCGGTAAAGTCACGTAGAAGGGAAATGATAAAATAATAAAAATAAAATACAATTCTCACGACGTTTCGGCCACAACGCAAGCAGCCGTCCTCAGGTGAAGAACAGGTCTGTCGGAAAGACACGCTGTCTACGTGACTTTACTGAAAGAACCAAGAAGATAGGCCATTGTTTTTGACAAACGCGTTGAGTTTTTCGTGATCGCCAAAACGAATTCTGGTCAGATGCAGTAGCGGGTACGTGCGTGTGTGCGTTTCGCCTGTGGCGCAGCGGCTAGTACGCTGTGCTACAAATCCATGGACCCGAATGAAAGTTCCGCTCATGCGCCAGCACCAATGACGATTATCTGAACCGATTTTGGGCCTCCCCTAGGTCGACTCAGCCTTAAATGAGTACCTGGTGCGGTGTGCAAACATCGCCACCGGTGCTGGACACCCAACCCCTCGCGTGCCATGCTGGCCTTATAGGTGCTCACTGACAGCACTTTCCCCTAAAGTCTGTTTAGGCTGCACGGGCGATCTTTGTCTTTGCGTCTCGCGTGGGGCACCTCCGTAACCAAATTCCCTAGCAGCGCGAGGAATTTCGGAGTCGTCTGGAGTGGGACTTGCGCCACTGCGCCCCCGGGGGCTGTCGAGCGACGCGGCACAAACGGAGCCGGTGTCTCGGTGCGAGATTCGTTACGCGTTCACACCACGTTGGTGGCACCGCCACCACCACCAGCAGCGGCAGCTGCAGCTTCATTGGTCGTGGGGCTCCTCGATCCGGCACCGCAGTCAGCGCGACGTAGCTGCTGTCCACCCCGGCGGTCATCGGTGAACCACGTGTGTCGTGGACGGAGGGGCGTGGAGGGGGATGGCGGCCGTGATGGCACTAAAAGGGCCGGCTCACTGATGAGTATCTCTGTCTTTTTCCGCAGGGAGAGGAGGGCCCCAGGGGACCGATCGGGGAGGCCGGACCCAAAGGCATCATCGTAAGTTTTGCCCGAACGCAACGCCGTCCGTTCGGCACTGGCATTAGTGACCACGCGGCGAGGCGGGGAGAGAAAAGTGTTAACTTTCAACGACTGTCATGAAATCCAAGGATTTGCCAGAAGGTAAAACATTGCCTTCTGTGACACGTATTCCACCTGACGCTGAGATCTGCGTGGCAAGATAGAATACGCAATGGGGGAGTCTACGAAGAGAGCATGGCAGGTTAGTGGTGTTTAAGATTATTTTATTTGTTACACAGATGGTGCCGTTTAGGCAGTTTCCTGGCTGTTTTAGAAGGGAGGTCCACGGTGCAGCAGCAACAGTAGCAACAAAGGCAAAAACATCAACAATGCAGAGAAAGAGTACAGGGTCCTTAAAGAACGTTGATGTGAGCGTTTCGTAAATGAAACCCTCATATCAACGTTCTTCGTAAACGAAACGCTCACATCAAAAATGAGTGCATGTATAACACACGTTTATCCTCGTAGCAAAAGTAGCATATGCTACGGGCCTCGTGCTAAATGCTTTCAAGCTATCAAATCCGGTTAATTGATTCTGCACTTGCTCTATTACTATAGTACTATACCGCCTTCATCTTTTATGAACGACTGGGTGTTTAAGGTTAGAGATATGTCGTATTATCTGGCTGTATAGCAAATGAAACAATACAAATATTTTACAATGCAAGTAAAACATTTGTGTTTTAATATTTACGTGTTTTTTATTTTTTAGGGCCCCTTTATAACATTTGCTAGAGGCCCCGCACTAACTTAATCCGGCACTGTATAACATGAGAGCAAGAGGCGCCAGACAACAAAGTTAGGTGCAGGTGCAAGTATGGCCTCTGTTTAAGTTTTATAGGGAAATAAAAAATGGGGAGCGAAGAGAGAGGGAGCCAAGCTGTAGATTAGTGGCAAGAGTTATCCAGAAATGCGGAGCAGCAAGGCGGAAATACTTTTTTTGTAAACCAAAGTTTTAGCGTATGGAATCTTTAGTCGGAATAAGAGGGCACTTCTGAGTCTACAGGAGGGAATTTGAGGAACCAAATGGGCCATGAGGTGATTGTTTAAGAGGGCCTTTAGGACGAAGACAGCCCAGTGGTGGTCTCTCCGCAATATCCAGGGGAGACAGATTTGAGTTGATGTAATGATGAGTTCTAAGGGTGGTGAGTTCTAAGGGTGCAGTGGTACAAAGGAACGAGACGTTTTCCGGCAAATTCATAGCCTAGGCAGGAAGCTGGTGTGTCACAATAATCAAATGTAGATATAATTAGTTAAAACAGGTAGCGCTGGGTAGGATGCGTGTAGAGGATGGAGGAAGGCTGGCTATTGAAACACGCCGCATTGGAGTGGTCTCCATAAGTCGAGCGACCAAGGGGATGACTGAACAGCGGATGACGGACGAGATGCTGTCAGGGCAGATCTTGAGTGGTCACGTCTCGACTCTGCACAGCAGCTGCGGGATCTGACAGAGGGTGGAGGGCCCTGGCGAGGTGTGGTGGCACAATCATCGATAGCAATGTGTTAAAGTGTACCTTTTAACGTAGACTCTTTCGTTCAAGTGCGATGTTCTGTCCTCTCACGGACGCCCTCGCCTCTCCTCCACCAAGCGGGTGGAGTGAGCCGGGCCACGTGCAAAACGTGGGAGCGTCGAACGCGTGCTCATGGCCTGTCTCGTTTCTCGCGCTGTGTGGCAGGGCTTGGCTGGATCGCGAGGAAAAACCGGGATCCCCGGCACGAAAGGCGTGGCGGTGAGCATCACCACCACTCACCCTCGCCGTCAGTGCCGGCACATTGTTCCAGACTGTGTCACCATAGGCAAGGCCCAGGGGTTCATCATCTTGGTTCTTTCGGTAAAGTCACGTAGAAGGGAAATAATAAAGTAATAAAATAAAACATAATAAAATAATATAATGTAGTATTTTTCTACGTGACTTTACCGAAAGAACCAAGAAGATTAATCCCTGCAGTCACGAAAGCTTTAAATCGAAAAAGGCTCAGGGGCTTAACTTCTCACCGAATACTCCCCCCCCCCCAGGCCAATGGTAGATGGGACCGATCACTGGTAGAAGACGCATGATTAGTAGCCAGGGCCACTGTGGGAGCTCTACTGGATGTTGGTGGTCCGGGTGAAGAAATATTCTCTGGGTTAGCGACCTGGACAGACCTGGCTCAAATTCATTCCTGGCAAGACCTGCTATCAAAGAAAAACAATTTGGGCATTATATATTTAGATCAAGCCCCGATTTAATAACACACCTTTAAGCAAAATGTTTATTCTTATTGGATCATATTTACGAAAGTCATGGTGGTCTCCTGTTACAGACAGGCAGGACGGGGTGCTGCTGTCAATTGCCCGTTGCCCGTTCGGGCCCGTCGGTAGCTCGCGTGACGCATTCACAATCTCATCGGCGTTTCTTTCATACCCCCCCCTCCACCCTCCAGGGTGTCCCTGGGATTGACGGCCGAGATGGAACCCCTGGCATGCCTGGGATGAAGGTAAAACGATCTCACTGGAAATCACGCTCTGCAAACATCACCAGCACATCACCTCCTAACGTACCAAGAACATTCTAATCGCGATTATTACGATTACTACTACTACAGCATTCAAAGCCACTTTCGTTTACCCGCTCCACAACCCCGAAGAATATATTACAATTGCGCGGGTGGTAGTCATTGTGAGTTGTGTTTTTTTGCGGTCACGCCTTGCCCGGTTTATCATTATCGTCATCATCATCATCACAGCCAAAGCGGTGCAGGCGTAGTCTGTGTGCGTATGGTGACACCGTCTCTGTGCTTGCTGCTCAGGGAGAGCCCGGAAAGCCGGGAATCCCAGGAGATTCCGGGCCACAGGGCCTGCCGGTGAGTTCTATTCACACGCACCACGCACACACACACATGCACCACACACGCATGCACCACGCACGCATGCACCACGCACGCACGCACCACGCACGCACGCACCACGCACACACGCACCACGCACGCACCACGCACGCATGCACCATGCACGCATGCACCACGCACGCATGCACCACGCACGCATGCACCACACACGCACACGCACCACGCACATACGCACCACGCACACACGCACCACGCACACACGCACCACGCACACATGCACCACGCACACATGCACCACGCACACATGCACCACGCACCAGAGAAGCAGAGTACCGCATACACAAATCACATTTGTGTATGTGGTGGTGAGATGTTAACTCCCTCGCTTGGTATGAAGGAGGTTGTGGGTTCGATCCCGACCCTGATGCCTGTATATTTGTATTTTTCTCCGGGTCCTCCGGTTTTCCGCTCCAAATTTATAATCAACATGCGCTTAGAGTATTTGTCTGCTATAAATTTCCGCATGCTAAACCACTTAATTGCGCTATCATTTGTGGCCAGGTCGCTTCTGAAAAAGACCAATATAGCTCAGTCGGCCTTACCTGGTAAAATAAAAAAAAGTATAATAGTTTAACATAATGCGACCTGGTAAAGTTTCACTCGTCTCTGTGAGTCTTGGGCATTAACACTGAACCTTTGGATTCATTAATGTGCCTTAGTCTGGCTCTACGAGCCTCACCCATGCACCATTAGAACGATACGACTCTTAAAGGTGCCTCAGTCTGCTTGTCTAAGTCTCGAGCATTAACAATCGCCAAAACCAATCCTAAATCTGCCTTAGCCTGCCTTTATAAGCCTCAGGCATTCATACGGGTCTCTAAGATGCATACATGTGCCTTAAGGCTGGCTCTCGGAGCATCAGTCGGGAACAATGAACTCTACGAATCCCAAATGTGTTTTAGTTACAGTCTCTGCGCTCTGAGCTTGAATGGCCAAATAAGCTGGATATCAATTTCTCAGCATAAGTTTGCTGTTTTAAAAAACATCAGTTACTTGTCTCTGCAAAATGTCATGCGAGATAATACGTTTATGTTGTTGTTGTTGTTGTGTTTGTTGTTGTTGCATAATGCGTCGCTGCTTTTCTTCACGATGCTTCGTTCAGGGGTCACCTGGGCAGCCAGGCCTGAAAGGAGAAGCGGGAGACAAGGTACGCAAATTCAAGAAACCGCATGGACTCCCACCTATAACAGCGCTGTTTGTTGACAACGGCCGCCTTTGGGCTCTGTGCTCAGCAACTGCGATTTGTGAAAGTGATGTTAATATACAGTGCATACTGCAGAGGTACTACCGTTAGCCTCCTCCAAACTGAAAAGCAAACTAAAGATGAAAAAGTTGCTTGGAAATTGTCCAGAGGTGGAGATGATGGTTAGAGTTGAAGTCAGTTGGAGGGATAGTAGTAGAGACCAGTTGTGGTTAGTTAGGTAGTTAGGTGCAAGGCCGTAGCCATGGAGTCAACATTGGGGGGGACCAAATCTTCCAGGGGGTCCTGGGGGTCCTCCCCCAGAAAAAAATAATCTAAATTTGAAAACGAATTTCCTGCCTAAAATATTGAAAAAATCACTAACACATAGGATGGACTTCTTTTTTTTACAATAATGTCTAATAGTGTATTGTATTACATTGCTCTGTTTTTTTTCTTTTAATATATTGGGGATGTGTCCCCCCCAATATATATTATAATTATGACCTTGGTTAGGTTATGTTAATCATTTCGCCGATTGGCTTTTCTAGCCCCTGCTGTTATCAACGCACCTAATGGACCGGGTTTGCAGGCTTGCAGTCACCGTTAGGTGGCACAAAAGGGCACCCTTGTGGACACAGGCTGCTGTACGAATCCACACTGCGTTGTATCAGACCCTGCTGTGTCTTTCCCATCCACGCAGGGGGACAGAGGGCCTCCCTGGGCAAGTCGGGATGCCAGGTCTTCCTGGCAAGAAGGTAAGAGCACCTTGCATAGACATCTCAACACTTGGTGTATGTATGTTGAACTTCTTTCGCATCCTACGTGGCCGACTGAGCGAGTTGGAGCGCTTCTACAGATGGACAAGAGCGGCCCCTCGCAGTGGCGTAGTGTGGTTATGGCAAGGGCCCTGGTGCAAGAAATTCAATGGGGTGGTGGGGGGGCAGCTGTCCCATTCCTCCCCCTGTCTCTTTGTAGCCCGGAGCCTGAGCCCTCTGGCCCATAGCAGAGGTCGCAACCAGGTACCTGATACCCGTACCCTACCCGATTACCTGGCTACCCGTACCCGGCCGGGTACGGGTACGGGTAGTCAGTTTGCGACCCTGTTGTGGCCGGGTATGGGTAGGCCGTGAGTCACTGGTGAGTAACCGTTTGTCACTCATTTCGGGTAGAGTACGGGTATGGGTAGGGAACGGGTACCCGTACCCGGCCTGAGTACAGGTACGGTTACCCATTGCGACCCTGGTGCGGCAGGTTACGGGTAAGGAATCAAAACCCGTTTGCGACCTCTGGCCCATAGGCCCCGGTGTAGTTGAACTGCCTCCACTCTCCATAGCTACGCCACTGGATCATATAAAGAGACAATTAGAAACGGAGAATAAACAGGGACACATAGAGAGAGAGAGATATAAAGACAACAAGAGATGATGACAGTGTCAGACAGCTAGACATGCAGAGGGCCAGGGACACGAAGATATGAGAAAGGAGGCACAATGAGAGATCGATGGAGAGGGATACATGGAGATACACGAGAGTGATACTCAAGAAGAAGATACATGGAGGCGGACCTGGGGAGTTACAAACAGAAGAAAACAGAGGAGAGAGAGAGAGACACACCACAGACACAGAGAGAGACAAAGACTCGGGTTGCCCGGCTTGGTGACCAAAATAAACACGGTGTAATTTTAACATTAACAGGTGACTGTTCAAGGCACCGCTGTTACATTCCACTCGTGTGACCATCAATCACAACAAATTTGCCCAATCAGCGCTTGCATTTTTCACGTTTTTTTTTTGTTCGGTGCAAAAACAAAAAAACACATTATGTTAACAGGAACCATAACAAGCTACAGGGGCCCTGACCGCACGGACCTTCCTGCACCTGCAGTAAAACGAGAGGATTAATGGGCAGATAAAAAAAAAACATTTACTTTTGTTACCATTTGCCATATAATAACAAAACCAAACGGCTCTAGAGCATCTGACTGCCAAACTTAAGGGGCAGGGAGGAAGCTTACCATCAAACGTTGAATCCCATCACTATCTCTCGTCCAGTGGGCATTGATTTCTTAAGAGCATTCATTAGGGCATTTAGGCACTCTCCCCCCTCCCTGTTTTCGTCTCCTATAGGGGTGTCAGAGCCAGGGTTGTAGGATGTATTTAAACAGTTTATTGAAACATGCGGTTTCAGGCAGTTTTCCATTGTACTGTAATTCGTAATATTTGTTGTGCTGGTGTTAATCTCCTTTCATGTCCTCTGTGTCGTGCACCTGATATATCGTTTTGTTATTAAAATACTTTTGAGAAAGAAAAAACCAAAACTCCGCAAAAAAAAAACTCGGCCACATTCGAATGCCAAGAGATTCCACGTGCGGATGAAAGCATTGCTCACAAAAAAAATGCTTAAATTTCATATTTCACTCAGCCCTGCGACTGTGGAAAAGCACGCAGGCTGTAATAAATACATAATGTGGACGTGGCCAGATGGTTCAAAGGTCGGGGAGTGCTGAGTCTGACACCATTGAGAACCCGAGTTCGACTCCAGGTTTCAGCCGCCTGTGATGCAACCGGGATCTCAAGTGCAGCGAGTTGATAGTGTCGAATTGTCTTTTATCATCATCAACTTGCACCGACCAGCATGGTGAAGTATGGTTAAAACACCTCCCCATAACTGGCATTCATCCATTTGTGGATTTTAGAATAGCTGGAATGTTTTTTTTAATCAAATTTTTATCTTCGGGTTTGCGATAGCTTTACGCTATAAGAATGGCGCGAATACCAAATGTATTATTAATTACGAAAATAATGAGTAAATGTATGTGTGTGTGTGCATAACAGAGGTTTTTGGGTTAGATAGCGTAAATACAAATGTGTCGTTAAACCCGCCACCACCCGACACATCCACTTAGTAAGGTTTGTCACGGAAACAAAACGTGGCAATTCGAAACCAGTTCAGCACACCGGTGTGTTGGAGAACGTGCCGGGTGGTGGCAGGTTCAACGACAAATTTATGTTGACGCCATCTAACCCAAAAACCTCTATTATGGATAATATTAGTCGTGAAAGCCTCTTCCGTGTTAATGTGTGTGTGTGTGTGTCTGCGCTGGTTATTGTTCTCACACGAGTGCGGGCCGTTCTCTCTTCCAGGGTGAATCGGGACCCCCTGGGGAGCTGGGACCAGTGGGACTGCGTGGACCGGAGGTAAGGCGAACCCCCCCACACGAACCCCGAACCAAACACCTTGTGCCAGTTACAGTTATCGCTCGCTACTTCCGTGTTCCTCACATCAGCGTGAGGGCCGCCTACACCGCCTGCTCGGGGTGATGTCACGTGTTGTCGGGGGGGCCGCACGTCAGGGCCACACTGAAGGCCACCAGGGCCCACCGTTGGCCCGTGGGCCTTGCAATGAAGAACACTGCTCAATTCTAGATTTGAAGCTTTCGTGACTGCAAGGATTCATACTCTTAGTTTTTTCGGTAAAGTCACGTAGGTAAAAAATGAAATTTAAATGAATAAAAATACACCAAAAAATAATTGTATTTTATTTGTTCTTAATTTTAATTTCATTTTTTACCTACGTGACTTTACCGAAAAAACTAAGAGTATGAATACTGCTCAACTTGAACATCAGCCATACGAAGAAGGTATAGCCACAGATGAAGTGAGATGTGCCTAGTGCTGGCGTGAGACTGGAGGGGTGGCATTACTACGCAGCACCCTACACGACTCTGTAGTCCACAGCCTTTCGTCTTATTTTGATGTTGCGGGTTTTTTGTGTTTTTTTCGTGTGATTTTCCGTATGTAAAATAACATTGAAAAACTGAACTCTTAATTAATATTTTAGTTATTCCTGCTAAGACACCGAACCAGCACATCTGAGAGCCCAGGTTAAAGTCCGGATGTCATCCACACATTGATTAAATTGGATTCCCAAGTGTAGCCAATTGATGATGGCCTCAACCCGATCACCAATGCCTACACATAAGATAGTTGCTTTACTAAATTTAGAAAAATGTTCCTCTGCGGGAGAAAAAATGACGAGTTTGATTTTGCTATGTGACAAACGTGCGTGTGTAAATGTGTGCCACCTGGTGAAGAGGCAATTGAAGGGACCTCAAAATTAGTTCTGTCATGTCATCTTCCAACACAGGCTGATGCTCTGCATCACATGGAAATTAATTTGTCGCTTTAGATGATTGCTACAGTACAAATTGAATACAATCGTTTAATATTTGATTTTTACTCGCTCAACCCCAACAAAATGTTTATTCCCTCCTAAATATTTTTATAATATTTTGCCTATTCTTTTTGTTTTTCTGTAAAGCCACGTAGATAGAAAACATAATAAAAATAATAATAGCAATATCACGACGTTTCGATCGCAACACAAGCAATCGTCATCATGCATTTAGATGGCTTCCCTCCTGCAGACAAGTTAGGGAGGAGGCTGTCACCCAAACCTCGTCTACAGAGAAAACGCCGGGATAACAACAATAATAATTGACGTTTGCAAGGTGCATTAAATCCGTAGATCCCAATGAATGGACGCTGTGTGCTTGGGAGGATCGGTGTCTATGGCCACCGTTTCATGAAATGAAAAGAGTTGGATTGGGGGCGAGGGGGGGCGAGAGGTAGGAAAGTGGGGTGGGTGTGGAGTTGTCAGGGCAGGATGGGGGACAAAGTGGCTGGGTTGGTTAAAAAGAGAACCGAGCACACATTCCACCTTCCATTACGAAGACAAACAGCCCCAGAGGGCTTTGTTGATCTAAATAATCGCAAGGCTCGTTTTAATTTGCGACGCCCTCAACATCAATCCGTTCCTACGGGATGCGGCTCAGGTCCAAATGGGGCACTTTGTTTGTCGGCAAAACATCAGCCACCGTTGTGTGCGTCGTTTCAAATCGATTTTTCTTGGTCTCCGTGCGCACTCGAGGATTAATTTCGTCCAATTCAGTTAGCTCTTTGTGCTCACGCCGAATTAAAATAAACACCACGAGAGTCGAAGCCGGTCCGTAACCGTTAAAGGTCCTTGACGTGGAAATCCCACCAGAAAGTTCCTCCCCACCCACCCACCCTTCCCAGCTCCCTTTCAAGCACAGGTTCAGAGAGAAACTGCAAGTCATCGAAAAAATATCCGTTCTACAGCGGAGCCCTGGAGGTGAAATAGTTTCGCTGCGTGTGAGAGCCTTCTGTTTTCCAGGGAAGCAAATCAATACGGACGATTGGAAGAGCGCAAAAAAAGAATACCTCGCTGAAGTTGGACCTTTTCCCTAACGTTTCACATGCTGGTTACCTTGACACAAAAGGCTGGTAACGTAACCTCCCCTCTTCCCCTCCAAAAGGCAACTGACCCAGAAAAGAGATCCAGGGTTTTTTTGAACCCATTTCCTAATTAAGTATTTAATTTCTTCACAAGCTCAGCAAGCTCGACCCCCCACTGCTGCCTCTTCTAGAGGTCACCTCCCTCAGGGGAGGAATTGATTAGAGAGGAATACTCGGTCAAGGTAACCTTTTAAATGCTATGCACCCCACCCCCTCCCCCTCCTTGTACAAGTGGGTTTCCTCCTGGCAATGCTTTACTCCGACATTCCATTCATTAGGCATATAACAATTTACCTGCTCAGAGCTGCGATGTATTGTCACGATCTGAAGTCGTGATTTTAACTTTGTCCATTCTCCCCCCCCCCCCCCCCCCATCTCATTTTGCATCGACTTAACACGTGGGATTTCACGGCCGATATTGCGATACAATTTTTTAAAAATATTTTTGGGAAGCGCCGAGTGAAACGTCGCGTACCTAAATGCTACATTTGGCTTGTGAGAAATTGCTCTTTAGGCTCACCGTTGAGCTGAACCAATAATCATTGTCGCGTTAAATGCTCGTACACGGGGCACAGTTTGGCCGCAGAGTTTTGTATCGTCGCTCCCACCTTTAGCCAAAAATGTAACATTGTCCTCTCATTTGCACGTATCATCCATAACATATGATAACGAAATCACATAGACGCAGAATTCGATGTAGGAATCGCGAGTAAGCATCAATTTCAATCGATTAACCGATGCATCGTTATATGACGAATCAAAAATACGCGCTAAGGTATTGGGCACACATCCAAAGCCGGAGTCTCCTAAGAAATGTGACTCGGAGGAGGCTTTCCTGGATAAAATCAAAGATATATATTTTTTTACAAACACACAGACTTGTAACACGCACAGTCTTTGTTCACTCTCTGAGAGAGAGAGAATGAGTGAGAGCCACAGACAGCCCCAGGTGAGTTGGAAGGCAGGCCAGAACCGGCCGCCAACAAATTGCCCGACATCCGTGGACCTATCCCGGGATGTTTGGGTCAACTCCACGAATGAGTGTTTATACGCTCGTCAAATAAGTGCGCAAACATCACCGGTTGACGGCTGGCAGAGTGGTAACGCTCGTGTCTCACATCAAGCATGGCTCAACTCAGGCACCTTTTCTGTGGAGTTTGTGTGTTTCTCCCCCTGTTCATAGCGGGTTTCATCCCATAGCAAAGACTGGCACTGGCTAAATATCTCAGTGTTGAAAATTTTCTTTCTAATTACTCAATTAGGATCACACATCGCCGCCCCATACAGCGAAAAACTTGGCAGGACCCTCCTGAAAAATGATCTTGAGCGAGGCTTTCCTGGGTAAACAAGCATAATAAAAATACACAATTAATAATAACGCTACATCAGAAGAAAGAACCCAGTCTCCCTCGACCCCGTCTGCCCTGCACCAGTGTCATCTCCATAGCCGTTCTCATTTTATTTTCCTTGCCTCAGGAGCCCAAGTCAGTCTCACGTCACAGTGGTGAGATGTTAACTACCTTTCCTGGGACACATAAGGTCGTGGGTTTGATCCATAACAAAGGCTCACCCTCTTAAGCCTCACCTTACCATATTAATAAAAAGTGTGCCGTACTTGGCCCTTCCCCCCTCTCCAACCATTATATATACGGAGTGGTAGCTCTTGCAATCTCTCATTTACTTGATACAGCTGTCGTGGCTGTGACGGTTCCACCTGAAGACAGAAGCTTGTGTTGCCTCCGAAACGTCGTGATTTTTATTTTATTTTACTTTTATTAATTGTAATGTTTTACCTACGTGACTTTACCGAAAAAACCTAAGAATATGAACCTGACCCTGGTACCTGTATATTTGGAGTTTGCATGTCTCTCCCCGTGGCCGCATTAATTTTTTTCTCCGGGTCCTCCGGTTTTTCCCTCCTCGTTTCGAAACGCGCATTTGGAGTTATTTGACTGCTGTAAATTTCCCCGCGATAATAAGCCACTTCGTAGAGCCATTATTTGTGGCCAGGTCGCTTTTGAAAAAAAGAGCTCTATATCTCAGTGGACCTTACCTGGCAAAAATAAATAGTTTTATACTTCGATTTAAAGCTTTCGTGACTGCAGGGATTCATCATTCTTGGTTCTTTCGGTAAAGTCACGTAGAAGGAAAATAATATAAAACATAATAAAATAATTCTCACGACGTTTCGGCCACAACGCAAGCAGCCGTCTTCAGGTGGAGAACAGGCTTTCTCGACAGACCTGTTCTCCAACTGAAGACGGCTGCTTGCGTTGTGGCCGAAACGTCGTGAGAATTATGTTATTATGTTTTATTTTTATTATTTTGTTATCTTCCTTCTACGTGACTTTACCGAAAGAACCAAGAAGTTTTATACTTTTTAGTTTTTATATTCTTTGCCTCAGGATCCCAGTCAGTCTCACGGCTCATTTTAAAATTCACCTCTCCCCCTCCTACGCCTTGCAGCCTTCCACTGAGAGAAACAACGCAGGAAGTATTCGTAACAAACCCTGCCATTGTAGTCACCCTCTGGGCTGTGTATAGGAGCGCAGCCTGTGGACTGATTTTTTTATTAGTGGGGTTTTTTTGTTTGTTCATTGGCCCTTTCCAGTTTGTAATTCAAGCCTTTGCTGCCGAGCCACCGAGTTACACAGCCTCACTCTCAAAGCGCTTCTCAGCTTGGCTCTGACCCCCAACCCGAATGAAACGATCACCCTCCACACTACGCACGGTGCAGCGCGCTTGTCCACTGCTGGATGAAAGGCTTCCCTGCTCCGTTATCCATCCCTCACGATCCCAAGGTGCAACAATCCGGCACCTGCACACAGAGGGCCCTCCAGTTGTCCTCTTATAAGAAGAAGAAAAATGTATCATACAAT